CGGTGTTCTTGGGCAATGCCCGATTTCAGGGTTTTCTTGAAATCACAAAGTAGGTCCCTAGTAATGTCCAACAAAAATATTGTACATATGGACAAATAGTGCCTTTGCAGGTTGTGAGGCTCTTTTTTAATGATAGGGGGAAAATTGTCGACACATCAACCAGTGTCGATTTTCCCTAGTCTGAGCTACTTTTGTCATAGGCTGTGCATCACAGGGGTGTTAATCAGACTTTATAAAACTGATTGCTTGTTTAGAACAGGAAGAAGCTGAGCTGCAAACTTGGTCTGCAATATAATAGTCTTGATTATGAGTTACTGCTCAGTTAAATGGATACCAAAAGTCATGAATACATGAAATGTAACTAAGATTATGTATAGGGGGAGGAAAAATCCATCAGAATATATTTTATGTTTAAAAAATAATGTTGTCAAATTGATAGATTCTGCTTTGGCTAACAGAAAAGTAGATGTATACTCTTGAACATGCTTTACATAAATAGGGTGTCTTTCAATTACCTTAAAGGTGTTTCTCTGATAAGTTGCAACACTTTGGCTTTGGTAATTTAATTTTAAACTATCCTAGTTAGGATAGTTCTTAAAAATATTTTTAATCTATGTAGAAAGTTAAGATGCGAGTAAAGCATTTCACTGAATGGCCTAACAAGGTCCAAGGGGGATAGACCACAGAATCATGGACTTTTAGATTTCTCAGCAACAACATAGAACAGCCCATAATGCTGATGGGATTTTGAGAATGTAGTGTCAGCTCTTCCAAAACTGCAAGGTAATGATTGCCTTGTGACAGAGAGTTGGGACTGGGGGGTGGGGGTAAAGGACTTAAAAATGAACCCCTCTAAAGGGAAGACTATTAGAGTGGAAAGCATGTAGCTTCTTGCTGATTCTCATTTCCACAGTTTCAGTTATGTCATTTTTGCAAAAACTGATATATCTGTTTCTAGGATGTTTGACTTCTCAGATGTTTATCACTGCCATTTTGTCATACTATGAAAAGCCATCACTTTCCCCTTAAACATGGAGATAATGTGTGCACACATATTACGTAGATAAAAACTGCTAAAGATTAAATTCTGTTAGGCATGTTTCTTGTCCAAGATCTACCTTAGGTATTTAATCTTTTGCCCCTTGTAGCTGTAATACAGCACTCAGGTTCTATACAACATTTCTGCCACAGGAGTGGTGTACAGCAGTCTTTTATCTTGTATAATGTGGCCCATGGAGTCAAGTAATATTTTTGCATAATAAACCATCTTCTTTAGACTAAAACTTTGAAATACCAAAAAATAAGAAGCGACATAGTTATAAATAGGGTATGAAAGCTTCAAGATGTATTTTCAATAGGATGAGTAAAATGGAGGGTAGCTTTCTGGTAACTTTGCTAACTCCATACAGAGCCACGCACAGGAAAGGAACTGTCATTTGAAATTGCTCATGCTAGTGAACTGCTATCTAATCAAGAATGTGCCTGGTCCATCCTCATTACAAAATCTACAAAAACCTTGCTTTATACTTGGTATTTTGAAAAACACATTTGCTGTCAGATTACTAATTGAATAATGATCTTATCTGATCTCAACAACATCCAGAATATAGGAAAGAAAAGTTTGATTTGCTCATATGCAGTAATTTGTACCAAAGAGGATTTTTTTATTAGATATAAAAAAAGCAAAGAGGACTAATGGTAGTCTTTAATGCAGTAATACACTAGTTAAAAGGCATTAGCTTATTAGATATTGTCAATGTTTAGTTTTGCATTTGGAATATGTTTCAAAGGTAAAACACTACTCGGAGCACTGAAGAATTCAAGAAGGTAAATTACCCTGCTGAAGTGCCTTTCTTTTTCCCCAGACCAATTTTATCAGTTAGGACACTTGGTGATCTAAAAAGCACATGTACATTTTTTTCTGTTAGCCAAAATAGAAATATCACTACTGAAATTACGTAGTCTCTGTAATACTTTGTTCCACAAATTTAGTGGTTTAATTTGGAACATGGACTCTTGCATGTAGATAATAACAGCACTTGTGTCATAACCCACCTACATTTTTTTTACGTTTGGGAACCAGTAGCAATTTTTTGGGAAATAGGTTAGAAACAATCAGGTAAAATAATACAATTTTAGGGATTTGAACAACTTTTTGTTTTTAACACAAGGGGCCTGATTCTGATCTCCTTAAGTCTGGGGCAGATATTTTTAAATGAATACCTTTACCTTTATCAGGTATGAAACTGGTTTGAGATCAATATCAGACACAATTCATTTAGTATCCCAAGTGCAATATACACATATCCAGAAACTACATATGCTAGTTTGGGTCTCAAGCCATTTAATTGAATCTGGAAGCAGTGGGGAGACTAGAACGAGGATGTTCATTGCATCACTCTCTTTAACCTTCTGGGTGCGACCCTAAACTCTCACTCATCTTCCATTCATTGACCTCAGTGGGCTTTTAGAAATGAAGCAACTAGGACTGGGTTTCCAGCATTTATTGAAGACACTTTTATTGAAATATCTTTAATGTAAATGTGTGCCACTCTTACAGCAACTGGCACAGTACACTTAGGCTTAAATTTTGGGATATGAAAGCAGTTTTTATTGATAAACACTTATCTAAGCCTTGTTTACTCTTAAGGGGAAGTATTAATGTTTCCTGCAAAAATGTGATGCCATTTTATAGTAGTCCTTTATAATACTTATGCAATTCTTAATCTTCTTAGCATTTTAAAATTATAAACGGCCAACTGAAAATTACGCAGTTTGTCAAAAGTTAAATTTCTGAAAATTTGTAATGTTTTCCAAGTACTGGGGTATTATTACACTGTTCAACTGATGGATCCACTTAAAGCACATGTCATACCTTAGTGGATATTTTAGATAGTAAATATTTTTACGTCTCAGTAGTTACATTTGGAAAAAGGCCCCTTTTAATGCACATTCGAGCATGAAGCTCAGAGGCCAATTCTGTGAGGTGCTAAAGTCCACTAGAGCTGATGGCACTCAAGTTCCTTACACCTTGCAGGATTGATTCTCAAATGTCAGAAAAGCACTACATTGCCTTGGCAATCATCTCCCACCACATTCCTGTAAACATGTTTGTTTTCCATTCCAAGCATACCTAAAGCTCTGTGTCCTTTTGAAGTGTTTCTTCCTTTTGTATTCTTTTGTCAGAAGTGTCTTTTCATGTTTCAGTGTATTTACTACAGTACTACTGTATTTATTGCTGAGAATGTAACTAAGATTTGTAAAATGTTATATAGTTCATGCAATATAATAAAATAGTTTTAAAAAGTTCTTGATACTTTTTTAAATTCACAGTTAATATGGTTTAAAAGAAACATGTTGCAGATGAATATGCTGCTTTAGACTTGTTTGCTTTAATCTTTAGGGCGAAGAGGAACATCATGTGATCTCTACATGAAGTACACTTCTGCCTGTGTCTGCCCTTTTTCAGCAGCCTGAGCAGCCTATGGGAGGGGTGTCAAACTCCCCTGAGCTGCCTGGGCCAGATGTGGACCATGGAGCTCAGGGTTAATGCAGCCATTGTTCTAACCCTCACCACTGATGTGGTGCCAACAGGGCTCTGTACACTGGAAGTTGGCAGTGGCTCCTACCCCTGAATTCCTGGCCCCTCCACAAGTACTGTTAGACATATCTTTGAAACCCCTGGCCTATGTGATCTCCATGGGTGCTTGTATGTGAGGGGGGTTTAGTCCCCTAAATTAAAATGGTTGTTTTTTGTGATGATTAAAAGCTCACCTTTTCAATCGTGGGCTTCCGTCACTGTTATGGTGAGGTGCCCTGTCCTTTTTTTATTTTTACTTTTTGCAGAGCCTGCCCAATGCTCCTGCAGCCTGGGGGTGACCTGCCAGCAGGCTGAGCAGCCCCTGACCTGGAGGGGGCCATCCTTCCCTCTACAGTGGTGGTGCCCCTCGGGGCTGCCTGCTAGCAGACAGGTGCTGCCTCAATTTGGGCTTGGGGAATAGCTGGATTAAGCTAGGCTCTTCTTCCAAGCTGGGGCAACACCCACCTGCTAGCCTTTTGCCCAGGAAGCCCTGGGAGTCGCCGCTGCCACGGAGGAAAGGAATGAGGCCCTCTGCGGCTAAAGGCCCACTGGCAGCTTGCCCCCCAGGCCACAGAAGAGGTAGGCAGGCTCCACGAAAAAATAAAAAGGATTGGACCCCTTGCTGATTTTCCCCCCCCCCGCTCCAAGCCTGTCTGTGCGAGCTGCTGGTGGGCTGAATGGCCTGAGTTGTGGGGGGCCCTGGTCCTTCCCTCCACAGCATTGGTGTCCCCCGAGGCCACCCAGGTGGGGTGCTAGCAGGTCATGGGCTGCCCCAGCTCGGAGGCAGCACCCCACCAGATCCAACTTTTTCCCAAGCCTGCCCAGTGGAAGCCTGCCAGGAAGTGCTCCCCAGTCAGGCTTGGGAAAGGCAGGATCTGGCGGGGGGCTGCCTCTGAACTGGGGCAGCCTCTGGCCCTCTAGCACCCCACCTGGGCAGCCCTGAGGGGTGCTATGACTGTGAAGGAAAGGACCCAGAGCCCCCGGCAGCTCAGGGGCCACTTGGCCCACTGGCAGCTCACACAGGCCTGCTCAATAATTGGGGGGGGGGGAAGGGCCGGGGGCCTTTTTGTAGAGTCTGTCCGTGTCTCCTGTGGTTAGGGAGGGTGCGCTGCCAGTGGCTCCTGAGCTGCAGCAGCACCCCATGGGGCTGCCTGGGCAGGTGAGTGAGGCTGCAGAATGGGGGGGGGGAAGGACTGGGACCTCTTGAAGTTCAGGGGCTGCTCAGTCTACCAGCAGCTCGCCCTCTGGCCACAGGAGACGCAGGCAGGCTCCATAAAAAAATTAAGATGGGGCCCCTCACCGCTTCAGCCTTCAGCCCAACTATCTTGCAGCTCGAGGGAGTGAGCTGTCAAAAG